GCACTGAGCTCTTCAGTCCTAATCTTAATCTCCTGCCTTACTTGCAAAGCCCTTCCTAAGCTTGCCTGATTCTGTCTCTTCCTGGGTCGGGGTATCATAGCAGCTTCTGGAATCAGGCTGCAGTGCCTGATTCCAACACTCGTTTCTTTAATTTTTTTTTCTTTTAAAAAAAATTGTATGCATGAGTGTTTTACTTGCATGTGTGTCTGTGCACCACATGCATGCCTGGTAACCACAGAGGCCAGAAGAGGACATCGGCTCACCTGGAACTGGAGAATACAGATGGTCGGAGCTGCCATGTGGGGGCTGGGAATTGAACCTGGGTCCACTGGAGCCATTGTTCTAACCACTGAGAGATCACTCCAGCCCTCTAACATCTTTTGTTGTTGTTACTTTGAGATAAGGTTTTGTTATATAGCCCAGGCTAGCTTGCAGCTGGCAATCTTCCTGCCACACACTCCCAAGTACCATGGAGAAGCTCTTTCTGGACAAAATAATAGGAGATGGGGAAGCTTCTTTGGATCCACACACCTGCTGTGATGGCTAAGTGAGATGCAGAACTCAGCCCTTAAATAGGCCCTGTTGTCCCTATCCTCTGAGGCAGCCTGAAGGGACGAACTCAGACACATGCCAGAGTCAGGGGCATGCATGAAATATGTTATAAATAAAACATAACAACACACACATTCTTAAGTCTGGGATTGTACTGCCCACATGTAATCCCAGTTCTTGGGAGGCACAGGTCATGAGTTCAAGAGGACTATTATAGGTTCGAATCCAGCCCGATTACATAATGAATACAGGTCAACTAGGGTTGCATAGCAAAACTCTATCCCATATAATGACAGAACAATGTGTTCTTTGTCTGGCTCTCCCAGAGTAATGTTGGGAGATGATATTTTCAATGAACATCTATGACAATTTGAGCCTGAATGCCTCTCCTAGGCCCATGTGTCTGAATTCCAGGTCCCCATCTGGCGGTGCTGTTTTGGGTGATTATGGAACCTTGGAGGCATGGACCTAGCTAGTGTATGTGGGTCTCTTAGGGAGGGTGTATCTTCTTCCTTGCTGCCTTGAGCTCTGTGCTTTCTGATTGAACAAGGCCTGTGGAGCTGTCGTCATCTCACTCCTCCAGGAGAGATGGAGCAGCTGTTCCCTCCCATACACATCCCCACCACGAGAGAGCATTTCCTCTGAATCCATGAGTCAGAAGAAATCTTCCTTCTTTCTCCTTTTTGAGACAAGGTTTCATGGAGACCAGGCTGGCCTCAGACCTACTATGTAGCTGAGGATGGCTTTGAACAACTTCTCTTCTTCCTCCTCCTCCTTTTGAGATAGTATCTGACTCTGTAGACCAGGCTGGCCTTGGATTCACAAAGATCTGTCTGCCTCTGTCTCCTGTGTGCTAGGGTTAAAGGTGGGAGCCATCACACCTAATCAACACTGAACTTCTGGTCCTCCTGCGTGTTCTCCTATGTGCTGGGATCATAGGTGTGTGCCACCATGCCCTGTTTATGGGTGCTAGGGGTTTGTGAATGTTTAGTAAGCATGCTATCAACTGAGCAGCGTCCCCAAGTTTTGTTGTTAGTAGGGTGTGTATGAATGTGAGTGGTGTGTGTGTGTGTGTGTGTGTGTGTGAATGTGAGTGGTGAGTGTGTGTGTGTGAGTGTGTGTGTGTGTGTGTGTGTGTGAATGTGAGTGTGATATGTGTTGAATCATACAGGTGGGCCAGTGTGCCTGCCCACATGTGTACAGAACAGAGGATGACATCAGCCGTCCTACTCTGTTACTAGCCAGTTTACTCCCTTAAGATAGTGTCTGTCATTGAACCTGGAGCTAGGCTAGCAGCCAGCAAGCTCTGGGGATCCTTTTGTACTTCCCTCTCCAGAGGCTGGGTTACAGGTGCACTCATGAATGCTGGGGATTTGAACTCAGGTCCTCAGGTTCTCAAATGCTCTTACCTGCTGAGTTGTCTAGTTCCCTAACTCCCAGTCCCAAGTGTTGAGAGGAGGGAAACCCACTTCTCTGAGCCATATTTTCCTCCTTGAAAAAGGAGGGCACCACAATGTATCAGGGAAGGAAGACGAGCAGGAGGGCAAGCGGAGACAGAAATCCACTAAGTGACACAGCTGGAGTCCTCCTCACCCACTGCTGCTATGGTGAGTCCTCCTCACCCATGGTTTTGCTTTTCCTGGTTTCAGTAACTTTTAGTCAACAACATTACATGGAAATGTTCAGAACGAATTCGTACATTTAAAACATTTTCCCTCCTTTATTTTTATTTTATGTATATGATGTTTTGCCTGCATGCAATTCTGTACTCTACATGCATGCAGTGTCCACAGAGTCAGGGGAGGATGCTACATCCCCTGAGACAGGAGTTATAGACGGTTCTGAGCCATCTTGTGTTTGCTGGCAATCAGACCTGGGTCTGTCCTATGAAAGAGCAGCCAGTGCTCTTAGCGACTTAGCCATCTTTCCAGCCCCATAGTCTATGTTTTATGTTGCTCCTTATTCTGATCGGCATGATAGATGTCATGCCATAGATGTGCATCATCCTGTGAACCAGTGTATCCACTCTCTAAGTATCTGTGTTCAAGTAACCTTCACTGTGCTTCCCACAGTTGCCATTCAATTATGCGGTTCATCTCTTCATGTGCATAATTTACACATTAAGCTTTATCACAGGCATGTAACACACCAGAACATTTGCAACATTTGGTAGCATCCGTGGTTTCAAGTATCCTCTGAATCTGACACTGACTGTCATCTTCATACTTGCAAAAGCAGGCAACTACATTAAAAAAAAACACAGAAACCTTTCCTGATGTTTTAAGTAAGTTTATTGAGTTTACCATTTTGTGTTGGGATGCAGTCCCAGCTTGCCTTGGCTGCACTCAGCTCATGGGTTCCAACTGGGCAGGGGTCTAGGTTCTTGGACTCTTCTCTCGAGGATAAGGCTGAGGCAATGCTGAGGTCACTATTCTTTTACACTTGGTTCTGTCATTCCTTGTTAAGCAGAGGACTCAGATTCACCTTTCTCTGGGTGGGACAGGGCACAGCAGACAGGGCTGCATACTTTGCAGGTTATGGGGTAGAGCTCTCAGGAAAGCCAAACTTGAGACAGTGTGGAACTTTGACAGCCTGCCTTCCAGCAGAATCCAGGCCAGCTATAGGCCCGAGATGCCAGGGGAGGAGTGTGTGTGGTGATCTCAGAGGCCACACCCTCCAGGGGCGGGGGCGCAGGCTCCTCCTTAGACTCTCCCGCTTCTCCACACCATAGCCCTGGGAGCTGGCAGCCAGTTTATGGCTCTGGTTGCACTGACTAAGTGAGAACAGGCCCTCCATTCAGTGGCTTTTTACTCATAAACAAAGTGAAGGCAGTTAACCTTTGGCCAGAGATACTGGGTCAGTGACCTTGGAGGGAGGTTAAATATTAATGATGTATAGATAAGAGCCCCACCTGTCACCATGTGTCATTAAGGGGATCAGGAGGGGAAAAAAAGGGGAAACACAGGTGAGTGCAGCGGAAGGCCACAGTGTACTTCTGGGGGCTCACAATGTTGCAGATGGAGTTTGGTGTTGTTTCTCAGAAATTTGGGGCAAGAAGGTGATGGGGAGGGTACCTATATCTCAGGAACCCTTTAGGAACCCTCCTTTCTCTGTGTTCAGCCAGACTCAGTCCCCATGAATTTCAACAGGGTGGAGAACTTCCACTCGCGACACAAAAGGCCCTGCGTCTGAGGGCGGACTCCATAGCAGGGCCTTGGATAGGCCTGGGCCTCGGGCTCCTCCTGGTAAGGCTATCTGAGATGAGAGGGATATAATGGGCATGGCTTCCTGACAGCAGAGGATAAAGGATGTTTCCTCTTCCTGGGTACAGACATGGGTTAGGGGGCCAGGGAGGTTCAGTACCACCACTGAAAGGGCAGACAGGCCCGGGTCTCCCTCCATGCCCAGACAGCTTCCATCTACAACCTCAAAGGGAAGACTCTGTGCCATTCGTTGCCTCTGGGCCTGTTTCCAGACAGCTCTGTAGATAGAGACTTCTCCCGTCTGCCCTAGACAGCCCAGTCCTTGCCTGCAACCGTCTCTGTCCTGTGAGAAAGCACCCATGAGCCAACACGAATGGGAGGAGGCTCTCCTTGTGTTTCCAGGTTGAAAAAAAAAATTCCCAGCGGAAGACTGTGGCCATGTATTGATCTCTGTCACAAAGCACTTCCCAGACATTAATGTCATCCTTGGCACCATCTCATAAGTTGAATGTGATGATGGCTGTTTCATTGATGAGGAAGCTGAGGTCTGAACTAGCTAATTCACGGATAGATGAAAGGCAGGTGTAGAGGCCGAAACTTGAGCCCAGATATGCTGAGATTCCAAAGCCTCTGGGGTCCATGGCCCCATAGGCCCATTCAAATGCTTTTCTCTGGACCCCTGCCCGCAGAAAAGTTTTGTGGGGCACACCCCTCACTTTATGATGGATTAACAGTCCATGGGGGAGGGGCTCACACAGAGCAAAGAAGGGAACGCTGGCAGGGAGTGAGTCCCTAGCCATACTCCGCCTAGGCATCTTGCCATGGTGCTGCCCCTGGCCTTGGCAAAAGTGCCTGTTATTCTGGGTCCCCTAGCTTCCAACCCAAGCTCCTCCAGAGAAGGTGGATGCCTCTTTCTTAATTAGACTAGATTAGGAAGCTGTCCAGGAAGCAAATGAAGATAGGCAGCCTCCAGCCCAATGTCTTAGGAGCTGAGGGGTGGGGTTGTGTGAGTGCCCAGGAGGTTTCCCTACGTTATCCCACTCCATCTGTCCTACCTGCCAGGCTGGGTGGCACAGGCCATTTGCACACGGCTCCTGCCTGTAGTTTCTCCACTAAAGCCTTCACTGCATATTTGTATTTCCACTTGGGGCCCACTCTTCCTTTTGCTAGTTCTTGTCAGTGCACCCACCTGGGGCTGGGCCTTAGAGCCTATGGCCTAGTAGGTGTGGGGGTTGTTACCTGGGTGGGGCAGGAGCAGGAGCAGCCCAGCCCTGCTTACTCTGATCTTCCTTCAGGATTCCCACTGCACAGTGAGAGCCAAGCCTTTGAAGAGAGAGTCCAGTTCTGTGGGTGGCTCCAGCTCAGAGGCTTCAGCATTGGGGCTCATGGCCTCAGCCTCATCCACTGGACCCTCCTCCTTGGGGCACACAAGGGAGTCCAGCAGGCCCCAGGGACTTTGTCCCTGGTCGGAGGAGGAACATGAGAGGGGATGGGTGTGCAAAGGGAGGGAGACAGGGTGGCCTTCGATCTGGACAGAGGACAGGAGGGATAGTGGCCCCTTCAGGTACCATGGTGTCTCTGGTTCACCACTGTTTAGGGCATGAAGGTCAGGCCCTCTGTCTGTGCAAAACTCCAGAGGCTGGGGGAGTGATTTTGGTCTTTGTGTCTTG